ACGAATCTCTTCCAGTCAGTTGGCCAAGGAGCCGTCCTCCAGATTCCCTACGAGTTTGTAGTACTGAGGTGGCTGCAGTGTTGCTGCACTGCTGGAAGTTCTGTCACTAGTATTTCAAATACTAGCAGGGTCACCCCAAATTAATAGGTGTCATCAGTGCTTCCAGACTACTAAAAGACTATGAAGAAGGACGAGGCTGCCCATTTCAGAGGCATTAGCCCCTGCAAACCTCATGGATAGCATTTTTCCATACTGAAAGCCTTCTAGTTAGCACCCCAGTAATGTGTGTCTCCATGTTCCACCCGGGGAAGCCCTCTCTGAGTGGGAATCAACTCAGTGGCAATGAGTTTGGTTTGGGTGTGGTGCCGCCAGGGTTCCAATGTCCCTGTTCAACTTCCCCTAAGTGTTTGCTTTACTCTTGCAAAGGCCCCTAACTGGTTTTTCTGTCTTCATTTCATGATGCTTCCAGATGAGATCTCTTCTGATTATCACAGTTTTTCAATATAAAATGATAAGGTTAAAATAAGAGAGAGAGAGAGTTGCTGTCTCGGAGGCTCACGGGAGCAGGCTCTACCTGGTCTTTTGGGGTCACTATGAGTCCGCATGATCTCCATGGGAGTAAGCTTGGTTTCTGGAATGTGCGCTGGTTAGAACTGTCATGTTTACCCTTAGAATAATCTCTCAAATCACGTGTTTTTGTCTGCTGATGCTGCTGTTTTCCTTCCTGCTGGTGTTTTTTTGTCACTGATATGGCTTAGGAAAAATACAGTGATTACCTAAATCAACCTGAGGAACTGTTGACAAAACTGAAGGAGGTAAATAGGCAGCCAACAGTATCTGAAACACAGCCATAAAAATTGTAAGTTAGGAGATATATGACCTCTGGGTAGATCAGAGTATTTCAGACTCTCAGGCAGTTGTTTTTAACTGGAAGCATTTGGAACCCATATAGATTTGTAATTTATATTGCCCTAGTCCCACACCCTTGTATCCTGAAAATTTTAGACAACTTTTCTGTGGAGAAGAATTTTTAGACACTTTGGGCTCTATGAATCTCACTTTCCTTCAAAGGTAGCAAGTCTTTCTTTTTTTTAAGTCACTTTATTGGGGGCTCTTACAGCTCTTCTAACACTCCATCAGTTGTATCAAGCATATTTGTACATATGTTGCATTCATCATTTCCAAAACATTTTCTACCCCTCCCTTATCCACCCTCTCACCTTCTTGAATCCCTGATCAGTTATATATTATTATTATTTTGTATCTTAAATTGTCCATTGTCTCCCTTTTCTGTTGTTCACCCCCTTTGGGGGGGTGCTATATATCCAAGCTTGTGATGGGTTCCCCGTTTCTCCCCCTCCCCTCTCCCTGACCATCCCCCTCCCCTCATGACATCGCTACTCCCACTTCTGTTCCTGACGGATTTATCTGTCCTGAATTCCGTGTGTCCAGAGCTCTTATCTGTCCCAATGTGTGTGCTCTAGTCTAGTCAGGTTTGTAAGACAGAACTGAGGTAGCAGTTCTTGAGAAATAAAAAGAGATCATCTGAAGCTGCTACAGCAAAAGGAGGAGTGGTTACTAAGTACTTATGTTAGAAAACTTTCAAGCAAGGCAATTTTTTTCTTTTTCTTTTTTGGCTATTTTTTTCTTAGTTGGGTCCATAGTTTGGTGGAGATCCACAAAAGTGAAAAAAGGTTTATTTTTGGTAGGATAATGTGTCTTTGTTTAATCTAAATAGTAGAATCCCTTATTGATCAATTATGAATTCTGATTCCAAAATATAACTTTGTCATTAGGGGTTATCAAACTGAATGCTTCCTGGGAGGTTGCTGGCTAATTTAGAGACCACACCTGGGAGGCTTGTCCAGTGATAACTACCCAAGTCCTAAGCATTTTCTTTGCCCTCATGAGTCAACTGAAAGTAATGTTATCAGTACAAGGATGCCAAATAGCACTAGTGGCAACATCGCTTCCCCAGTGACATAATGAGCTTTAGTGAGGCACTAAAACCTTCCATGGGTTCTTTTCCAGAGTTCACCCCTGCTTGCTCCAGTTGTTGGAAATGGGGGCTGAAATCCGAGTGAGAGGAGAGAGTAGCAGACATTCTCCGCACTCTGTCAGGGGCTTGATCTTACTTCTCCTTAACTTACCCCCTCAGAACAACTCCAGACAAAGCCCTGTCCCATGTTATAAATAGAAACTCTGAAAATCTGAATGGTTAAGTAACTCGCCTAAATTTAGACCATTTGTAAGTTGTGCAGCCAGTCATTCTGACTCTAAAATCCCAAGATCCCCCCTGCCCCCACAGTTCATAATGTGACAGTCAAATAAAGATCATGTGCGCACATACATTTAGTTGAAAACATTGAATATTCAAACATGAGACAGTTATCTGTTGCTGAATGATATTTTATTAGCTTAAAAACTCGGGCCTGCCCTTAGCATTAATAAGCTTTGACACTAGTCTCCAGGTATTCATTCAGTGGTAGCGACGCATTTTGATTTTAAAAATATAGTTAGAGAAAGGGCATCTATTTCTTGGGAGCTGCAGTGACGGCTGGTTTCTCTACGCGGGTAATGGGAATGGTGCGCTCAGGGCCAGGGGCCTGTTTCCTTGGTCCGTTCACAGTAAGGACCCCATCAGATGACAGGGATGAAGTAATGGCAAGAGGGTCCACATCAGCTGGGACCCGGTATTTCCTGTGGAATTCCCGGGAAACAAAACCATGTTCATCCTAATTCCAGGAAACAAGCAGAGAGAGAGGGGATAAGGACAGGATATAGCACCACTTGCAACCGTCCCCCCACCCCCGACAACCCCACTCCCCAAAGACAGAAGCATATGCCATGGCAGCAGGATGAGAAAACGCTGAATAGGCTGTCCCTTCCAGTGTGGGGCCCGAGATAAAGTGGACCGGGTGGACCCTGTGACCAGTAAGAATCTGAAAAGTCTACCAACTCCCAACTTCATGGTTTTCCCAAACTGGAAGCATGGATCCGGTCCAGAGTATTTCCCAAATACTTAGATCCGTGTTTGCTGGGCCTACACGATTTGAATCTCAACTCAGCTAGCCTGTCCCTGAGGAGGCACAGAAATTGTCCTAACTCAAGGTCTGTTTCAGCCTACTAAGACTTCTGCCGCGAGTGACTTCAACCAGGGAGGCTGTGACCCAAACTTAAAATGAATGAGCAACACTAAACCAGCCAGGAAAAGTTCAACTCTACTGCTTGATGCACAAGGTTCTGAGTTAGGGCTCACTGGTGAGAAGTAGCATCACTTAGAAATCCATCCCCCCCACCCCCCCACGCACCATCCTCCTACCCGCTGCCCCAGAGTGCTAGGAAGAAATTCCCTTCTTCAGACTACTCCAAAGAATATTTGGCCCTAGTCTTTATTTCTGCTAAAGTGCAAGTATTTATTCAGTAAGACTCTTAATTTGCTGATCGCTAATAGGAAATCAGAGTCTTAGTGATGCAGTGGGTTAAGCCGTGGGGCGGCTAACTGCCAGGTTGACAGTTCAAACCCACCACCCAATCTGAGGGAGAAAGATTGACAGTCCTGAAAGCCCTATGGAGCAGTCCTGCCCTGTCCTCCAGGGTGCTATGAATTGGAACAGACTCAACAGCACTGGGCTTATTGGGCTCTAGAGTATTAGGAGCTGAGTAATGTTCTGAAAAGCAGACAAGCCAAGCCACTCAGCATTAAGATGGGCTTCAGAAGATACAGATTTCTGAGCATCCAAATTACCTTCTAGGTTCATGCAATGAAATTATCATGTTAAGCAATTAGGTGACTGACAAGCCCTAAGCCTAACGAAATCATTGGTTCTCAACCTTGACCGAATGGTAGAATTACCTAGAGAGCTTTAAAAACGACTTATGCCTAGGTCTTACCCCTGAACGTTCTGATTTAATTTGACTACAGTAGGCCTAAGCATTAGGGAAAAAATTAAACTCCCCTGATGATTGTAATTGTCTTAGGCTGAGAACTACTGACTGTAATGGATACTGAACATCTTCATCTATCCCCTCCCTAAGGCAATCAAAGCAAAAGAAACAAAGGCCATTTCTCTAACCAAAAAAAAAGACAGGCTTGTCACTAATTTAGTCTCCTACCTCCTAAATTGTAACCCTGATCTACAGCCTTATGACTCGGGACCGGGGGGTTGCCAGCCTCCCAGGCATACAGCAGACACTGAATGAACCAGCAGGACTAGAAACAAGCTGCCTACCTGGCGCTCTTCATGTTTGCCATGCACCTCAATCACATCTCCCAGCACCTTGACCTTGAGCTCCTCAGGCGAAAAATGTTTCACATCCAGGTTGACTGAAAACCTGTCCTTCTCCAGATGCAACTAGTAGAGTGTAGGGATAGAAGAAAAGATGGCAGAACTGTTAATGGCGTTGGTGCAGTCTCATCATTCTGTAGGGATTTTGTACAGGTCGCTTAGCATCCTCCTTTTCAGCTAAAAGATTCTTCTTAAATAAGCATGACTCTCTTGTTTAGGGGCACCCTCACAGTGGTACTCAAAGCACACCCAAACGTTATCCACAGGGACAGGCCTCCCAGGGGGACTTAGACCACCACAAGGACAAGCCTGATGCCAACCTGGCTTCTCCTGTGGCCTCTCAGTCCAGTGGCTGCTCTGGTCATTTGTTCTGTTAAGACAAAGGCCCCTTCTTCTTGATCAGGTTTCTGCCAAGTTTCACACCCACTCAATCTGGAATGTCCTCCTGGTCCTGTTTGTCCTTCCAAAGCCCTTGCCCACTCTGCTACTGTTTACTCATATTTGAATATCTTTGGTGTATTATCTGTGACTGCTTCTGGCAGCCTTATCTGTTCTCCCCTTGCTCCCAGTCTCTTAGGACAAGTGAGGGGCATTGCAAGACCAGCTCTACGTTGCTTCCATCCTCATATGGCTTTAGGCCCAGGCCAGTGCCCCCTGGCTACCCAGAGAAATCCAGGAACACAGAGAAGAGGGAATAGAAAAGAAGAAAACAGGGGTGATTGTCTCCATCTCCGTGGACTGGGGAGGAAGGCCCCGGCAGAGGTAGCTCTCTCTCCTGACTCTGAAAGTTGAGACAATAGACTATCTCAAGTGTATCAGAAGGGGTGAGCAAAGACAGTGTGGGGCAACTCTCCCCTCTGCGGATCTATTGGAATGCCACCAGAGAAGGGACAGGCTGCTTGGATGCTAGCAGAGAAAGATCTCCCGAGTGTCAGCAGAAATGCAAAGGATCCAAGAAGCATCTCGGTGACTTCCTGGCCAGCAAGAGGTGACTGGCCACGGGAGCCACTGGGGACCTGCTATTTCTTCATGTTAGGACACGCAAGTGGCTAGAACACTTCAGAGACTCCAACACAATGAGGTGAAGTCGGGGAGGGAGGAAGAGGAGGAAGAAAAGATCCCAACAAGTTGAAGGGAAAACTCAAGGAGCGAAGAGGCTCACCTCTGAGAGGCCAGTGTCGATCCAGCTGGGGGCCCGCAGGAAAGAGGGTGGCCGAAGGTAGAAGGGGCTCAGAGAAGTGGAAGTTGGGAAGAGGTCAGATTCCAGCAGGTGCTCTCCGAAGAACTGGTCAAAGAGGCGGCTGGGCGAGTGGAAAGGAAAGAAGGGGCGGCGGATCCAGGGGTGGTGGATGGCGATGTCCATGGTGGCTTAAGTGAGGGTGGTGGGTCGGCTGGCTGGCTGGTCAGCTCTTCCTGCGGCAGCTACAGCCGGCCCCTTATATACGCAGTCTTGTGAAGCTTCTGGAATGGTGATGTCAGGGGTTTTATTATCTCAGCTCACTGCCAGTTCATGGAGACTTGTGATCCGGGATTTGGCCGAGTGACATATACCCAGTACTCACTGAGCTAAGAAAAGAGAAACACAAGCACGCCTGAGCTGGCCACTGACTGCTCCTGGCCTGGTTTCGCTGGCTTTCCCGTCCACGCCCTCTGGCAGCGCCCGGCCCAAGTCCTTGCTGCGCTGGGGGCTGGGACCAGCCTGGAATCCCAGGCAGCCGGTGGTGTGCCCCTCCTCCCCCTCCTCTTCCTCCGCTATGCCCCACGTGTGCCAGCGGAATCGCTGCCAGCAACTATCTTGGGCCCAAGCAAGGTCTAGAATCTTCCTAGGCTGGGGCCCAGGGCCATTAACTCCTGGTGGGTCTGTGGAGCAGTGAGTCGGCTTAGGGAGAGGACCCTGACCCTACTCTGGGCAGGGAGACTCAAGCCCCAGCCTAATGACCACCCCCTCCCTCTCCGCCCCCCCTACACATAAAGGGCAGAAACGTGTATTTGTTTATTTCACCTTTCCCTCTGCAATATTACTGTCCCGGAGCACTTTAGGAAGTGCGATGCCCGGTGCCCACGATTGCGGAGCGGAGCGGCTCGGGTGGAAAAGGTTCAAACTGCCCCAGAGGGTCTCACAGCCTCCCTTTCCCCAG